TAATTTGGAGTGTATGTATGTATGTGTGTGTTTGTGTGTGTATGTGTCCATATGTGTGTGTGCAAGGCTAGGAATCATATGTAGGTAATGCTTTACACTGTGACTTCACTTCTCTAACAGAGTTAGGAGGTGATTTTTCAGTTCAGATTTTTACTTATTAGAAGGATACAATAGTGACTTCCCAGCTCCTACATACTGGACTGAAAACTGTCTAGTACTTTTTTGTACATGTAAGGAAACTAAGTACAAAAGCATGTGGTAATTGGTTAGAGGCCCCAGCTAGTATTAGTCCAATGTTAAAAATGAACAATGCAGGGGCTGGAGAGATGGCTCAGCGGTAAAGAACACTGATTGTTCTTGCAGAAGACCCAGGTTTGAATCCCAGCACCCACATGGCAGCTAACAATTGTCTGTAACTCCAGTTCCAGGGGATCCAACAGCATCTTCTGTCTTCCGTGGGCATTGCACAACACAGGTGCACTTACTTACATGCAGGCATAACACTCATACACACAAAATAAAAATAATAAATAAAATTTAAAAAAAAATGAACAATGCAGAAAGGGCACAACTTTATCGCTTAAAGATCTATTATTTTTAATTGTGTGTCTCTATGAATGTGCACATGAGTACAGGTGCCCTCAGAGGCCTTAGATTCCCCAGGCAATTGTAAAGCGCCCATCATGGGTGCTGGGAACAGAATCTGTGTCTTCTGCAAGAGCAATGTGCATTCTTAACTGATCAGCCATCTCTCCAGCCCTCATACTGTTTAATCTTAGCTCTGCAGCAATAGTATGTGCCCAGAAACAGAGTCATAGACTCTTATGACTCCATCACAAGAGGGCTGGTACGCATGCTGGGGGGAGATATATTGAAAAACAAGTAAATAAAAAATTTTAAAAATTTAATAGACTGTGTGTGTGTGTGTGTGTGTGTGTGTGTGTGTGTGTGTGTGTTTTTTCTGAAAAGAAAGTTTTTTTTTTTGGGGGTTGAGAATGTTCAAACCTGGGTCCTCTGCAAGAGGCTCCAGATCACATGCCTGTAAACTCCCAACTATTGTGTGTGTGTGTGTGTGTGTGTGTGTGTGTGTGTGCATGAATGTGCACATATGTGGAAAGGTCAGAGGATAATATGTGGGAATCAGTTCTCCTTCAATCATGTGGGTCCCCAAGATAGAACTTGGTTGGGCAGCAAGTACCTTTACCAGCTGAATCATCTCTCAGGCCCTGAAATCAGTCTATTTCAAAGTGACTAATCAAAAGGGAGAGGGCTAATAAATGTGAGTACGTAACACAGAACAAGAGGGACTGTCTACTGCTGTCTGTATGACAGTACGAATGCCCTTGGAAACTTTATTTGAGAGACCCTTGGTGTGCTTTGTTGAAATCTCAGCAAGAACCGAGGGAGCCCAGTCACACCAGGAAGTGAGAGAGCCAGGATCTGGATCTGAGCGTACTGGGCCTGATCTGATCTTAATCATCATACAGCTGAGAAAAACAAGCATCTTGGGATGGGGTGGTGGGTTCTTGTCTTTTGTAACTGGTACATTTATACTTCCAAAACTTTTTGTGGGGGGGGTTTGTTGTTGACATCATCATTGTTTTTGTTGGTGGTGGGTTTTGGAGACAAGGCCTCGTGTAGACTGGGCTGGCCTCTAACTCCCTATGTAGCCTCTCGACTCAGCCTCCTAAGTGCTGGGATTACAGGTATGTGTCACTAAATCTGTCTTAATTTTAAATTTTAAGAGATGGAATCTCACTATGTTTCTAGGTTGACCCCCAAAATCCTGGGCTCAAGTGATCCTCCTGCCTCAGCCTCCTGAGTGAGAAGCACAAGCTACCTGTACCTGGCTCTATAAAACATTTAATAAAAGGTAGGCCTGATGGTGCAGGCCTACAATCTCAGCTGCTTGAGAGGTTGAGGCAGGAGCACTGCAAAGTCAAGGTGAGTTCAAGGCCAGCCAGGGCAATTTAGACACTGTTCCAAAATACAAAGTAAAAAGAGGGGTGGGGATAGAGCCCAGTGGTATAATGCTTGTCTAGCATGTGCAAGACCGTAGGTTCAACCCCCAGTAACACACATACACACACAGGAACACTTCTGGAAGGGTTGGTACAAAATCATGATTACTAAAACTTGAAATATATAAAGGAAAAGAGAAAAGAAAAATTCATGACTGGTATTGTTTTATGTATTGTTTTAGCCCTAGCCCATCTGTAGAAATATTACATATGGTCATTGTGTATTGAACTTTTTTCACTTAGCCTCGTAGCATGAGAATTTCCCTGTAGGAGAGGAAGTGCCAGGCTTAAGCACAGGCTGCACTAGAGAACACAGCTTCCGCTTTGAGAGCATAGCCTGTGCTTCCGCAAAATAGCCAACCTACAATCTGCCTGGATGAGGGGATCCATCAGGAAGTGACACACCAGCTTATGAGACACTGGGGGCAGGGGGAGAGATATATAAGGCCTGCCCTTTCCAGCAATAAACGAGTCTGCAGCACCTCGCCTAGTGCCTGCTTCCATCCGATTCCTGGTGTCTGTGTGTTGACTCTGCGCTGCTCACCCCCACCTCGGCCAGAACCCTCGTTCCCTGCAGTCCCTCGTGGGCTGGACCCATGAGGAAACCTACAACATTTCCCTATGTTTTTATGTTTCTTTTTTCTTTCAAGAAATGACAATTCATCGCTGAATAATAGCTTATCTTGGTACTATATTATAAAGTACATATCCATGTGATTATTGCTTGATGTTTAATAATCGATGTTTTTCTTTTGCAATGACAGATAATGTTCCTTGGGTGTTTCCCATCCACTGAGTGATCCCATTCTGGACAATCCCATCAATATGATGGCTGAGCCAATGGGTACAGATACTTGTATAATGACTGCTAAGTTTTATTGCATTAGTCTCTGGAAAAGTCACAGCAATTTTCTAGAAGATGTGTGTGTAGAACTATCTAGAACACATATCTAGGTAAAAGTACATCAATTAATACCAGGAGAGTTTGAAATAAGACCACTTACATAAACTGACAGGATTATGCATTGGAGTTCCTGTTTGTGTAACACAGAGTCGTTTACATCCCAGGCTGGCCTAGAATTTGCTCTGTAGCTGAAGCTGACCTTGAACTTCTTATCTTCCCCCTCCCAAGTACAGGGCTTACAGATATATGCCACCATACTTGTTCTGGTATAGTGTTGGGGATTCAACCCAGGGCTTTGTACAGTCTAGGCAAGCATTCTACCAACTGAGCTTACACCACCAGCAAATTCATGGATACTAATAGAATGATTTTTCCAATTTATCACATAAAAATTGGCAAGACTGTGTGATATTCTGACTTATTTTTATTTCTTATATGTATGAGTGTTTTGCCTGGTATGTATGTGCACCATGTGCGTACTTAGTGCCTGAGGAGGCCAGAAAAGGGTGTCGTATCCCAGGAACTAGAGTTACAAGTAGGTATGAGCTAGCATGTGGGTGCTAGGAATCAAATTTGGATCCTCTCAAAGAGCAGCAAGTGCTCTAAACCACTGAGCCATCTCTCTAGCTCAATTAAGATTTATTTTTATTTTTACTTATGTGTGTGTTTGTGTGTGTGAAGGTGCCTGAACAGGCCACAGAAGGTTTCAGATCTCCTGGAGCTTGAATTACAGGTAGTGATGAGCCCTCCTCTACCTTATGTGGGTGCTGGGAATCACACTTGGGTTCTCTGGAGGAGCATCAAGTGCTCTTGACCATTGAGCCATTTCTCTAACCCAATACTCTGATTTATAATATAAAGCTCTATCATCTACCATAACTTCAGTTTTATTTCATTCAGCTAGAATTTACTGCATACTGAGTATATGCAAAGCACAGTGCTACAGGCTGGGGTACTGTTGTCAGTAAAGAACAGTTCGATCCATCAAGAACTTCAGTTTGAGAGGGAAACTGGCATACTTCTTTCAGTCAAAATCTCATTTGTAAAATGAACTACTGACATTGGAAGTTCATTCCAGCCATATGATTCTGTGATATTATGAAATTCTAAATTTCCCAGTTCTAGATGCTAAAACTCCAGAGTAAGTTTACTTTAAAGAGCAATTGAGGCCAGTTGTGCTGGTGCACACCTTTAATCCCAGCACTCGAGGGGAAGAGGCACTGAGTCCAAAGTCAGAAGTTCCAGGCCAGCCAGAGCTGCACGGTGAGACTCTGTTAAAAAAAAAAGCAATCTAGAGCTGGCCCTCTAAACTAAAAACGTTTTTTGTTCACATTTATTTTGTTTGTATGCTTCATGTGTACATGCACGTCCCATGGTACACATATGGAGGTCAGAGGACAACTTGTGGGAGTCAGTTTTCTCCTTCTACCATGTGAGTCCCAGAGATGGTATTCAGGTTGTTAGGCTTGGCTGCAAGTGCTGCCTTCAGTCACTAGGCCATCTTGCCAGCCCCATGGGCTTTGTAGTCTTTTAAAAATGAAGGAAGGGCCAGGTGTGATGGCATATTTCTGTAGTCCCAGGACTCAGAAGACTGAGGCAGAAGGATAGTGAGTTCAAGTCCAGCCTGAGCTATATAACAAGTAGCTGTCTCAAAACACCGACATAACAAGAAAACAAAAATAACCAAGAAAACAGTTAAGATGATTCAGGATAGTGATATGTTAGGGAATATGCTCTTTTTTCTCCTCTTCCTTTATCAGTCACTGAGTACATACCAAACACCAGACATTAATGAATACTAAAAATAAAATGGGAAGTCCTTTTCTCATAAAAAAAAAGGGGCAAGTTTTAAGAAGAGAAACATTTGGCAATTTCATGTTTTGTACTTTAGTTATCATTCCAGCCAAAGTTAAGTGGAATGCTCTCCAGGATTCCAGCAGGGGACGGAACTGCCCGACACTGATTCCGGCTTACCCTCTAAATACTCCCAGTTAGTGAAAAGACCACGGAACTTGCAGGCTTATCACGGGGACTTGTCAACACCAAGACAGAAAGGATGAAAGCTGGGGACTCACCACTTCTCCTCCTCTACTTGCACTCCCACAGACTGGAACTTACTGGATGCCTTGTTCTCTCCTGTTTTCTCAGGTTCTTCAGCATCATCCACCTGAAGAAAGCATCAAACAGACAGAGCTGATCCTCTGCGGCGGCCTCACTTGAAAAACAGATGGCCTTTCGTCCCAACTATCTGTAATGTTACTGGACTCTTTTTGATTTATAGCCTCTTTGTTTAATATTTTGTGTATGATATCTGTAATTACTACAATATTAGCATGTTCTCTGGCTTTGCTTATCTCAATAAAATGTATTTTTACTTACTTTCAAGGCTGATAAATGTCTATGATCCTTCCACAGACTTCCAAGTACAGAAATTCCCTGGTGTGCACAGGAATTGTTTCTAGAATCACCATAGTTACCCACATCCAAAGATGCTCAAACCTCTTACATAAAATGACATATTTACTTATAACCTACACACATCCTCCCATCTCTAAAGTGCTTATAATATCTAACACTTTTCAAATGTTATGCAAATAGTTACCCTACTGTTCCATTCAGAGAATAATGAAAGGAAGTACAAGTTTAGTACAAATGAAGTTTTTTTGTTAAAGATCTGTATGTGTGTGTGTGTGTGTGTGTGTGTCTGTGTGTCTGTGTGTCTGTGTGTCTGTGTCTGTGTCTGTGGAGGTCAGAAGAGGGCATTGGATCCTCTGGAGCTCACGTTATAGGTGGCTGTGAACCACACATACACTCCTGGCATGGGTACTGGGAGCTGGACATGAGTCCTCTGGAAGAGTTGCCAGTACTCCTAACTGCCGAGCCATCTCTCTAGCCCCAGATGCATTTAAAGAAAAATACTTTTAAGGGGCTGGAAAGGAGGCTCAGTAGTTAAGAGTACTGGCTGCTCTTGCAGGGGACTTGGGTTTGTTTCCCTGGTTCAGTTCCCAACACCTACACAGCTACTAATAAATGTCTATACCCCCAGTTCCAGGGGACCCGACACCCTCTTCTGGGTTCCTTGAACAATGCACACACGAGGTGGTACACTTACATACATGCAGGCAAAACACTCACAGATGCATAAAACTAAAATAGGTAAATTTAAAAAAAAATCCTTTTAAATATTTATTTGTTTGTTTATTTTCTGTGTATGTGTGTATTGCCTGCGTGCAGGTAAGTACACCCATGTCGTGCAATGCCCATGGAAGACAGAAGAAGCTGTCAGTCCCCTGGGACTGGAGTTACGGACAGTGTTAGCTGCCATGTGGGTGCTGGGATTCAAACCCAGGTCTTCTGCAAGAACAACCAGTGTTCTTAACTGCTGAGCCATCTCTCCAGCCTGTGAAGTACATTTTTTAATGACAACTGAAAGAGCAACTATGGAGTGATTAGAGAGGGAGACATTTAACTGTGACCAGTTGTGGAACACTGTAATAGTCTCCTGGGGAAGAAAGGGTTTATTTTATCATACAGTTTATGATTTATTCTCTAGGGAAGCCAAGGCAGGAACCTGGAGGCAGGAGCTTGAAGCAGAGACCATGGAGGAACAATGACTTGCTTCCCTTGGCTTGCTCAGCTACCTTTCTTATATAACGCAGGCCCATCTACCTAGGGATGACACTGCGCACAGTGGGCTGGGCCCTCCCATATTAAGAAAATGCCCCACAGACATGACCACAGGCCAATCCGATGGAAAAATTCCTCAGTTGAGGTTACTTCTTCCCAAGTGTCTCTAGTTTTTATCAAGTTGACAAAAACTAACTAGCACATCACTATAGAGCATTTTAAAATAAGTTTTGAGTTTTGAATAACACAGATGTATTAGCTATTGAAAATAAAGCAAAGTAGCAGGGTGTGTTGGCACATGCCTTTAATCCCAGCACTTGGGATGCAGAGGCAGGGCAAGCCTCTGTGAGTTCAATGCCAGCCTGGTCTACATAGTGAGTTCCAGGACAGCTGAGGCTACAGGGAGACCATGTCTCAAAAAGATAACAAACAAACAAAAAAAGAACAAAGAAGGAAAAAAAATGAACTAATCCTGAGGAAATTAAAGCAAGCTAACATTCCATGGAGCTAATTTTGTATTGGATAGGAAGGCAGATTTTATTTATTATTTTTATCTTTTGTGTATGAGTATAATGCCTGCATGTGTGTAAGTGCACCTATGTCTTGCAATGCCCATGGATTCAGAAGAAGTGGAACTGGAGTTACAAACGGTTGTCAGCCACCATGTGGGTGCTGGGAATTGAACCTGGGACCTCTGCAAGAGCAGCCAGTGCTCTTAAATGCTGAGCCATCTCTCTAGCCCCAAGGCAGATATTTATGGTGAAATGTATATAACATAAACTTTCCACTTTGAAGTGGCACTAAGTGCATTCACATGCAACCAACGCTGTACAGCCATCACCAACATCCACCACAGAATTGTTCATCATCTCAGAGACTCATGTCCATTAAACAATAACCCTAACGGGAATCTAGGCTCTGTGTGTGTGTGGGGGGGGGGCGGGTGCTGCAGGGCATGCCATGGTGCACATATGGAGGTCAGGGGACAACTTTTGGGAGTAGTTTCTCTCCTAACATGGTTTCTGGGGATTGAATTTAAGATATTAGGTATTAGGCTGTGCAGCAAGTGCTTTTACCTCCTAAGCCATGCTGCTGGCCCGGAATCTAGATTTTTAAACATTCTTGGGCCAGCAAGATGATTCAGCCAGTAAAGGCACCTGCTGTACAAATCTGATGACTTGAATTCAATCTCTGGTGACCCAACTTCAATCCCTGCCAGCTCCCACACACTCTAAAAAGAAATTAGTTTTTCCTAGGCCTGGTGATGCATGCCTGTAATCCCATCATTAGGGAGATAGTGGCAGGAGGATCAGGGGTCAAAGGCCAACCTCAGCCACAGAAAGAAGTCAAGGCCATCCTGGGCTACATGAGAGCTGTCTCAACATCATCATCATTATCATCTAATCCTGTGAAAGGCAAATGAAGAAAACAAAGCATAGGCAGCTTAAGTGGTTTGCCTGGGATCAAAAGAATGCTGCCATCTGATGCCCGCACTTCTCAAGCCCTTTAGTGGTGGGACTTTAACAGAAACAGGGAGACTTGGACCGGGGCCTGTCTCCTACAGTGTCATCCACTCCCAAGCACCAGTGCGGCGGGTTCTTTAGAAAAACTGACAGTTTGCTCTATGGTAACCTGGAGGTTATAAAAAGGCATCTGACGCCTTGCTATGAGAGAAAGATTAATTGTCCTTTAAAAGTGAACTTTGCAGAGTAGACTGTGAAAGTACATGATCCCTGTGAGAATGTGCCCCACATCTGGCTTTCAGACTCACTGAGCATGGGCTCAGTGTGTCGATTTATAGGATGCACGTTGAGAAGTTACTATTCAGTAAGCACCTGCGGGGCACGGCAGATGTGTGTGGCGGGGGGGGGGGCGACTCTCTACTGTGATGGAAGGACATTTCTTGTAGGGTCATCCAAACGGGTGTAAAAAACCAAAGGAAGGGCTAGAGAGATGGCTTAATGAGGCAATGCACCTACTGCCAAACTTGATGGCCTGAGTCCGATCCCCAGGACCCATATGGTGGAAAGAGGGAATCTACATCTGCAAGTTGTCCTCTGACCTCCACATGTGCACAGACACATACAATAAATGAAATGTAATATAAAGAAAAAAAGGCAAGATCAGCTGGATGTTATCTTAGAGATCTTACAACAAACTATTGCCATCTGTGAAGCATGACATGGGAAAAGAGAGAACAGCGAGCTGAGCTGAGAAGTCTCCGAGCTGTCTACTGTATTTTTATGAAATACATGATTAAATAGCCAACAATGAGGCTGAAACCGATGTGCATTCCTTCCTTGTGATGCTGGGGTGTGAGTTATTGCTTTCCACATGAGCAGTTGGTCTCAGTCTCCTACGCTGATGAGAAATTAATCACATTTTGGTTCCCACATGGCACTTCAATAGGTTTGGGCGTAAGTTAGGGCAACCTGATGACCCCAGTAATTCTTGAATATGTACTCCTTTTTTAAAAAAGTTTAGTGCATGTGTGTGTGTGTGTGCGTGTGCGTGTGCGTGCACACACACACATGAGTGCACGTGTGTGCATGTTTGTACCATAGCACTTGTATGGAGGACAGCTTACAGGAGTTGGTTCTTTTCTTTCGCCATGTGGGTTCTGTAGATCAAACTCATGCCCTCAGACTTGGCAGTAAGCACCTTCCCTGTGAGTCATCTCAATGGCCCCTGACTCCTTTTTTTTCTTTTAAGTTTATGTACCTTTAACTCCAGCACTTGGGAGGCAGAGGCAGGTGGATCTTTGTGAGTTTGAGTCCAGCCTGGTCTACATAGGGAGTTCTAGAACAGCTGGGGCTACAGAGACCCCTTGTCTTTCAAAGACAAAAAAAGGTTTATGTATTTTTATTTTATTTATATGAGTGTTTGCCTGCGTGCATGTGTATCATGTATAAGCAATGCATGCAGAAGACAGTGTTCAGTCCCCTGGAACTTGAGTTCTAGATGGTTATAAGCCATCAGGTGGGTGCTAGGAACCAAACTCAGGTCTTCTGCAAAGCAGCAGGTGCTCTTAACTGCTGAGTCATTTCTCTAGCCCCTGCACTCCTTTTTGTTTTTTTTTTGTTTGAGACTCAGAATGCACATAGGAGACTAAAGGGACACAAAGAAATGGCAGCTGCAATTTGTTTTGCTTTTGTTTTGTTTAGTTGAGACAGGCCTATGCAACACAGGCTGGTCTTGAACTTGTAATCCTCTTGCCTCAGCCTCCTGAGTGCTGAGATTATAGGCATGCACCACCATGCCCAGCTACATAGTCAATGTAACAGCTGTTAGTAACTACATACAAAATACCATCATCACTTTGGTCACATCTAACAAGGTAGAAAATCCAGCACCAATAACTTAAAAATCTCATCCTACACATAACTGTGTCATCCCAAATGGCAACATGGGAATCTGGATAAAATGAGATGAGATACAGTTCTTGTCTTATTTCAGAGAACACAGGAAGGATCTTATTTCAGAGAACACAGGAGGCCATTACCTGTATGCCGATAGATAGGCATCGATTTTTCTTGAAGTCCTTCTTCCTATCTTCGGTGGTGACAGTGGCTATGGTGGTGGTGGTGGTGACAGCCGCAGCATTATTGCTCATGTGTTGACTTGCAGGACCGTGGATCTGGGCATTTGCAGCCTCGATGGCAGCTGTCAGAGCCTTCATACTGTCTAGACTTTCCGTAGAGTTGCTGAGGCCAGACTGGCTGATAATGTCCCCCCGTTGGCCTTGTCCATCCATGTAGGCATCCTGCGCAGACTCTGTGCTACTCTGGGCTGTGATAGAAATGAAAGGTTTCGTGGTAGTTCTGGGTGGGACTGGAGGTGGTGTCTTCTTATATGTTGTAATGCAAGATGACACTGGAAGACAGTGAGAACAAAGACACTGTGATTTCCGCATGGGCTTTAGTTTCTGATATTGTCACTGACTGCCACTGGAAATTACGGCACATGAAACACTCTCAGACACTTAACATGAAAACAAGCCCATGGACTTGTGTGAGGTCTCTGCTGGGGTTGAGGGCTCATATATGGACATCCTATGGGGTGACACACTCACAAAAGTTTGGAGAAAAGACTGGAACGTATCTACCTCTGAAATGGACGTTTCTAAAATGGAAATTATGAATTGATATGAACTAGACACAACTGGCCAACTGCAGAAATCTTCTCAGGCAGCAGTGGGCTGTATGCAGACGGAATCTCTCCTTTCTCAGGAAAACAGTAAATTCAGCTAATGTCAAAATAGGTCATTAGAGACGATTTGAGGGTTGAGATTAAACACTGAGAGGGGAAGGCAGAGGTTGTGAGCATGCATACTCTGAGCCTCGTAAGTGTGCTTGGGCCTCCTCAGCCACCGTAGCTTCCCGCACTGCTTCAACATTCTCTTCCCTCTTCCCTCTCAACACCTTCCTTTCTCTTCCACAGTTGGTTTCTGTCTGTTTCCCCACCTACCTCTCTTCCCTTTCCTGACCCTTCCACCCTCTCTGCCTTGCTTCCTTTTCCTGGATGGGTCCTCACAATATCAATCTTGTCATGAAATTTTGTTTTCTGAGCACAGCTACTACTCACTAGGAGGACATACAATACACTCATTTATGAGTCAGTCTCTGAGCATCTGTTTGGTCTCTGTGAGTCTACTCCCTGAAGTGCTTTCCTGTAGGGTGACTTCATCAAGTCAAGGGTCTGATTTTGTTTACCTACTGTTTCCCCAGGTCCTCTCTGCGGCTCCAGCTGAAGCATCCCAAACCTCTTCTCCAACCATCTGACTATAATATTCAGCTTGCTGGGAAATTTTCACACACTGCTCCTCAGCTTTCTATTTGTGGAGCAGGATTCAGAAAAAAGGAAGATTAAAATACCTTTCTAAGTAGGAACTGCTCTCAGTAAAGAGCAAATCCTGACGCAGCTTTCATGAGACTCCTTTAGTCCTTGTAAAACTGATTCGAGCTTTTATGTTCCTATCACTTTCTCCCTGATGCCCCCTCCACACCTCTCCACTCACAACCGGTACCTTACGGTTATAGCAAATCAGCTGGACCTGACCATGCAACCCCAGCTTGTTGCCCATGGTTCTAGCTGCCACTTGGACCAGTTCACTGAGTAAAATACTTGCTTCAGTACTGACCATGTGTCCTCAAGCTACTCAAAGAAAATATTCTATGATGAACCATAAACTAAAGGGTCCTGTGATGCTGTCCTGCTCTCTGCTGCCCTGAGATTTGGGCATAAAAAAACAGCAACAGTAATGCTTGGCTGTTTCCCAGGGATTGCCTGAGAACTGAAGGAATAAGTCATGCTTGTGTCATGTCACCTGCATGTCACATGTCAATATCATACCCTCTGGAAAGGATTATGCATGCATAATATAAATGGAGGCACCTCTTAGTTACATGGTCAGATGATTAGCCAAAACTCACCCCATGAAACCCTCTATCTACACTTACTGCCTGAACATCTTTACCATTTGTTTTGGTTTGTTTCTTTTTCTTTTTTTTGGAGGGGTGGGGGACAGGATCTCCCTGTAGCTCTAGCTGGCCTGGAACTCATTATGTAGCTCAGGTTGGCCTCACTCTCACAGAGATCCACCTGCCTCTGCCTCCTGGGTGCTGGGATTAAAGGCATGTGCCACCACACCTGGTTAAACATCTTTAGCATTTGAACAGAGATAGCCATAAGCAGTCCAGCGTCCTCATTTTTCTAACCCGAGAGAGGTCCACTAGAAGACTGTGTACCTGCAGAGTCAGAGTGGAGCCTGCCAGACTCAGGCTTATCCCTGGGCTCATAGGTAAGCCTCTAACTAAGCCATATAAACATGGAGGGGGCTGATATGGCTCTGTTTGGTTTCACATCCTTGTGTGTACTTTCATATACATGTTTCATGTTCCATGTGGAACTAACTCCTGCCTCCCAGAAGAGTTAAAGGGCGGCAGCTGTGTTGGGACAACGGTCTCAGTTATTTATCTGAGGACTGGAGTGGGCGGCAAGAAGTGAGCAGCATAATTAGGGACTCCGCTCCCACTTGAACCTGATGAAACCAGACCATGACAGTACTTCTAAGACTAGTCTTTACAATGTGAACCCATTATTTTGCTCACAGTCTATTTTCAGGCCTTTCAGCCAACTCTATTCCAAAGAAGCTAAGCGACCGTGACCATACCAGTGTCCAATCTTCCGGATTACTTATTTACTTGCTGTTAGGTCTCCTGGTTTCCTCTTTCTAGGTTGATAATCAAAACTAGATGATACAGAAAAAAAAAATCATTCCACTTTCTATAGCGGTGGTTAGGCCACTGCTGCCACCCGTGTTCCTTCTGCCTGGCCCACGTGGCTTCTTCAACATGTTCAGTCACCAAGCACAAACAGAATTCAAATATTCAAGGTTGCTTTTTTGGTGGAGGGGAGGGAAACGCAGTACTTCGTGCATGTTAAGCACATATGCTAGCACCGAACTGCAGCCGTCAGCCCGAGACTGCCTTTCAAGGAGAGGAAGGAGCTCTGAACCATAGCTCACGCTTCCAGTCCTTCTCCCCCCTCCACAGTTCTTTTACCTCAAAGGCTTCTGCAGGCAGTCACGCAACTAAATGCTCCCTGGGCTGGGCATGTGGCTCAGCTGGTAGAATGCTTGTCTAGCATGCACGGCGCCCTGGGCTTGATCCCCAGCACTCCATAAACTGGGCATGAAGGCAATCACCTATAATCCTACACTAGGGAGGAAGAAGTAGGAGGATCAGGAATTAAAGGTCATCTTAGGCTATGGAGTAAGTTACAGGTCATCCTAGGCTATGTGAGACCCTGTCTCAAAAACCAACTTCTCCAGCATCACTCTTTCCTAGCTCTGCAGGCTGACACCTAAGCCTTTTTTTTTTCTCTTCTAATGTTGTCTTTCTTAAAAAGATAACTTGAGAGGTGGAGAGATAGTTCAGCAGTTAAGTGCACTGTCTGCTTTTGCAGAGGACCTGGTTCAGTTCCCAGCACCCCCATGGTGACTAACAAGTGCCCTTAACTCTGGTTCCAGGGGGTTCAATGCTCTCTTCTAGCCTCCATGGGCATTGAACAGTATAGATACATACCTGCAGGCCAAACACTCATACACATAAAAATAAATATTTTAAACACTAAAAAGATAACTTGCAACAGTTCAGCACCGTGGATGACAGAGGGCCCACAGAGAAGTTCTGAGAACCTGTGGGTATGGGGTGGCTAAGAGTGAGACCCACAGAGGGGAACACAAGTTAACAAGTCCTATCTGGTTCAACAGAAGAAAAACTGAACAGCTCATATACAGTAGTAAAACACCCCATTTGCTTAAGAGAAACATTTTTTAAAAAGGTTTGAAAACACAAGTGTGGGGCTAGAGAGATGGTTCAGTTGTTCAGAACACTGGTTATAGAAGACCTGAATTTGGTTTCCAGCACCTAAATGACAGCTCATAACTGTAACTCCAGTTCCAGGGGATCTGACACCCTCTTATGGTTTCTGTGGGCACTGTACTTACATGGTGCACTTATATACTTGCAGGCAAAACATTCATACACATAAAATATAAATGAATGAATCTTTTAAAAAATATTTTATTATTTTAATTTTATATGTATGAGTGTATTGCCAGCATGTATGTGAGTGCACCTGTGTCGTGCAATGCTGCAGAGGTCAGAAGAGGGCTTCGGATTCCCTTGGAACTGGAGTTAAGGATAGTTCGTAGCCACCATGTGGGTGCGGGGAATCGAACCCAGGTCCTCTGCAAGAGCAGTCAGTGCTCTTAACTGCTGAGCCATCTCTCCAGCCCCTAAATGAATGAATCTTAAAAAAACAAGCTGCACATGGTGGTGCATGCCTTTAATCCTAGCACTCAAGAGGCAGGTGGATCTCTGTGAGATTGAGGCCAACCTGGTCTACATGGTGAGTTCTTGGCTAGCTGTGGTTATAGGGAGACTCTATCTCAAATAAATAAACAAACGACCAAACATCCACATATACACAAGTGCTAAGACAGGTATGGTGGTGCATGCTCATAATCCTAGCACTCAGGAGGTGGAGGCAAGAGGGTCTTGAGGCCAGCCTAGCCACACAGAAAGACTTTATCTAAAAAGAAAAAAGGATATATATATATATATATATATATATAATACTATGGTATAATATAGTATTATATATATAGTATGATCATTAAGTTGACACGATGGAGGTTTTACATTTAGGAAGTTATCGATTAAATTAGCTAGGCATGGTAGTCCATGCTTATAATCCCAACTCTTGGGAGATGGAGGCAGGAGGATCAGGAATTCAAGGTCATCCTCAACTACATAATGAGTTTGAGGCAAAGTTGGACTGCATGAGATCGTGTCTCAAAAAACCCAAACCAAAACAAAATCAAACTAAGGGGTTGGAGAAATAGCTCAGGTAGCAAGAGTGCTTGCTAAATGAACATGAGGACTTGAGTTGAAATTCCTGCACCTATATAAAAAGCCAGGTATAGCTGGGTACCTCTAACCCCACTGCTGTGGGACACAGAGACAGGAGGATCCCTGGGGCTTGTTGGCTTCCAGCCTTGCTCTATGTTCAATGAGAGACGCCGCCTCAAAGGAATAAAGGTAGAAAGTGCTAGAGCAGGACAGCCAATGTTCTCCTCCAGTCTCTGCACACATGGAGATCTGTACACACGGAGACCATGCATCTACACACATGTGCATATATCATACACACATGTACACATTCATACAATCAAATCAAGACATAAAAAATGGGAACACATTCCTACCATTTTAGTTAAATTTAAATTTTTGTGTTTTTTTTTTTTATGTGTATGAGTATATTACCTGCATGTATGTAAGTACACCTGTGTTGTAGAATGTCCGAGGAGGTCAGAAGAGGGTGTCAGATCTGGAACTGGAGTTAGGATGGCTGTTAGCCACCATGTGGGTGTTGGGAATTGATCCCAGGTCCTCTGTAAGAACAGCCACTGTTCTTAACTGCTGACCCATCTCTCCAGCCCATCAGCCAACTTTTTAACATTGACTACTTTTTCATTTTTTTAGACAGCATCTCATGTAGCTCAGACTGGCTTTGGATTTGCTATGCAGCTGGCCTTGAACACTTTTTTGTCTTTAATTTTTTTTTTTATGTGTATGCCTGCATGTGTGTAAGTGCACTGTGTCACACAGTGCCCACGGAGGACAGAGAGGGCGTTGGATTCTCTGGAACTGGAGTTATGGATGGTTGTTAGGCATCGTGTGGGTCCTAGGATTCAAACTCAGGTCTTCTGCAAGAGCAGCCAGTGTTCTGAACCACTGAGTCATCTCTCTAGCCTCTGGCCTTGAACTCTTGATCCTCCTGCCTGCATGTGCTGTAGTACAGCTGTTGGTTGCCATTTGCAACAAAAGATAGTGTTAATGTAACAAACCCCAGGAGGGGCTGGCCCAGCAGTGGGTTTTCCGGCAGAACGGCGACACTGTCTTACCATGCTGGTCATCCTTTGTGACTAGGACACAGCAGATGTCAGCTGGCCACCAAACACACAAGCAATCAGGCCCACTGTTTGTATTAGTTTTTTAATAAGTTCTTACTGGCTAAGCTAATGGATCATACTCCATAAGGCTATGTTGAGGAACTGCTTAGTAATTTTTAGTTACTGGAATTTTAGAAGTTCTAATATAATGAGAGCAAACCCACGAGGATCTACAAATAAAGACAAGAGAGACAACAAGAGAATTAAAAATAACCCACCTACCTACATATATTTAGTTGTACAAAGCCAGATGGGATAGCACATGTCTATATTCTCAGCACTAGGAAAGTGAAGGCAGGAGGATCATAAATTCAAAGTCATCCTTGGCTACATAATGAGTTTTAAGGCCAGCTTGGGCTACATGAAACCCTGTCTCAAAAAAAAAAAAAAAAAAAAAAAAAAAAAAAAACA